TAATTATGTCCCCACTGGATGCAACAAATGCCTCGTTTGTAATGGGTTTTAATGTTTATGTCTCGTCGCTCCGGCCGGACACGGCATCAACAGTATGTGAGGGGCGTAACATTTCCGTCACACGCTTGAGGTATTCGGCCAATCACAACGGATTGGATAGCTGGCCGATCACAGCACACCTCGCTTTTTCAGACCGATGAGCTTTGAAAAAATCGACGCGTTACAGAAAGGCGGGGCATAGAGGAGAAACAATAATGTACAGTATGTGGAAAATAATGTGTTTTTTTTTTTACTTTAAACCGCATAAACACATTTCATTACACCAAATACACAAAATAATGTTCTTTTTAGCAGCATCATATGACCCCTTTAAATTATATTAAGCCTTAAAGTTCTGCATAATTAAGGGCGTGGCCACTTGAGTGACAGGTGGATTGCTGCTGCTGACCATAGACTGAATAAAACTGCTGACACTGCCGTCGAGCTAGGTGCGCGTGACTTCAGCAACCAGCTCCCGCCTTTTTAGCCCATATTTTTATTTTATTTTTATTTTTTTTTGGTTATGGATATAAACTGTTTTTCCTGCATCACAGAGTTGCTCGCAAGACACATGATCTGTTCCATCGCTGACAAACAATAGAATGCATTTCCATTTTGTTTCCTAACATGGATTGTAAATATCCAGGCAAATATCCTCTACTGACAGGCAAGGATTTATCAGGAATAATTTACACAGTGATATTTTACTGGGACTCATGCCCCAGTAAAAATAGTCCAAAGGCGCCCCTGGCCTGAACGTTAGCCAAAGTACTGAGAACGTTTCCTGTTGGGGTAAGTAATTTGTGCACATGTGGCAAAATGAGCAGTATTACAGAGCTTTTGGTGTGAAGTACTGTATCTCATAATGTAATGCACTTGACCTTCCATGTCTAGTGTAAGTGATGAATCATAGTGAAATCAGCCAAGAGGTTTCACATCTCTTTCTTGACTCATCATTTGACCGGACTGCCAAACTTTAAGACATTCAAATAATCCTTTTTATTTCATGTTCCTCAGTTGGTCTTCTGAGATTTCATCATGTTTACTAACTAATAACACAAACAAAAGAGGGCAAGAGAGCCTATTAATTTCCCCCCACAAGTCTCACTTGAATTGTTGCCATTAAAGTTTAATGCTTGTGGTGCAAGCTATCACAATTTGATGGAATACAGCAAGCCGCTTTGCTGAATGTCTCATCAAAATCTGCTGAATAAAATTAGTATAGTTCTGCTTATTTAATTGTTAGTCACATCAGCAAGACTGTTCACCTCCCCAAAAGTGAGCTCCTGCTCCTTAAACTTAACATGATGATGCAGTCCTCCTGTTTGATGCAGTGCTGTGTCCAGGTAGTATGAGAAGCCTGAGGATATATCTGATTAATGCACTGAAAAAAAAATTCGCCTGTCTAAAGCTTCCACACCTGATGCTGACTGATGTTGTCATTAGATAGAACAGTGTGTGGCTAGATAAGGCAGCTTAGAGAGTTTATGCTCCCAGTATCATATATATATATATATATATATATATATATATGGATTAAGACCAAGAAGATAAGGTTTGCCTGGTCAGTATGACCTAATTAGGCCCTGCTGTTTGTTGCTGTAACTACGCCAACTTGCTCCACTAAACAAGTGGTTTGAGTTTTTTTAAATGCGAGGACACTTTTGTTAATGATAAGTATAAAACCTAAATGATTGTCAGTGTTCCTCATCTAATATTGATTTGGTTATGCGAGTTTGAGAGGTACATATGAGACATGGAGTCTGAAGATAGATTCTTCTTTATAACTTTTTTTTTTTAACTCTAAAACGTAAATACTTTTACTTAAGTAAAACATCTGATGCATCTTAAATTGAACTATTTAATTTATATAGTTTTACCTGGAGCTATAATGGTAAGCGAGTGTTTGTTGGTACTCACTTTAATGAGGAATATATGGCCAGAGCGCCCCCCAGTGGAAGCTGAGGAAGCATTCTGCAAGTACAAGAAACATGAAGAAATAATTATTTCTAAAGCATTAAAATGATTTAACTCGTTTAAACATTTATCCATAAGTTAAAGGAGGATGGGCCAATCTCTATTGAAATACCTGCACAAAAACGTCTGCATTAGTGAGCATTTCCATTAAGTTCAGAGCAGTGTTTTTTTTAGCAATATTTATTCATTCATATTTTGAATTGTTTTGTATTTTTGTATTTTCATTTCGTATTATAATATTTTTTTAAGTTTGAATAATTTAGTTAATTGCTTTGTCCTTTTTATTAGCTTTTTTAAATAAAAACAAAGCTTTTCAATGTCCCAGTCTGCCCCCTCCAGATACAGGCCTGATACGAAACATCCTAATAGAGAAAAGAAAGAACATGTGTTTTTATCCTGTGCTTCAGTCTCAAAGTCCTCATGTTCATTTTTGATGTGCTCTCACCCTGTCCAGGTCTCTCTTTGACCTCATCCTCACTCCTGTAGTGAGTGACCTGTGTGTAGAGAGTAGAGTGATCCAGAGGCCAGCCGTTCTTTCTGCAGGTGGCCTGGACCAGTGCTGTCAGGTATGATTCTGGGATATGTAAGCCTGACAGCCACATCACACAGGGCTCTCCCTCATCCACCTACATAAATGAAAAACAATATGAGATGAACATCTATTTATTTATTTATTTAGTAGCCCATTTGATACATTTGGTTAGCATTTCATTTACAGGAACTACAGTGGGGTTCAAAAATCCACACTAAAAATTTGGCATTCAAAATCTATTACAACCTGGATACATGATGTTTAAATAAGCATTACATAAAAAGATATTTAATATTTACAAAAAATAACAGAAACTGACAAGGTTTTAAGTAAATCAGACAATAGGGGGCAATAACACCTCTGTTGTTCATCCAAGTGCACAGATGTTCAAAAGTACTGTTCAAATGTTTGGGGTCAGTAAGATTTTATTTTTATTTTATTTATTTTTTTAAATAAATTTATAGTTTTATTAATCGAAAGTGACTTTTAAATTGTTACCAACATTTCTATTTCAAATAAATACTGTTTTTTTTTTAAAATTCTTATTTATCAAAGAATCCTGAAAAAAATTGTATCACAGTGTCTACAAAAATATTACACTGCACAACTGATAATATTAAGAAATCTTTCTTGAGCACCAAATCAGCATATTAGAATGATTTCTGAAGGATCATGTGACACTGAAGACTGGAGTAATGGCTGCCGAAAATTCAGCTTTGCCATCACACGAATAAATTACATTTTAACAAAGAGACATTATTTTAAATTGCAATAATATTTCACAATATTACTGTTTTAACTGTATTTTTGATCACATAACAACATTGGTGAGAATAAGAAACTTATAAGAAAAGAAAAAACATTTAAAAAGTCTTACCAACCCCAAACAAAATGGTAGTGTATCAGCCATTGCAGATATTCAGGCAATTATTGGTCTGTCACTACTATAGACAGCTCTATCCTATCCTTGCTGGTACATTTTAACAAAATAATAAGACAATAAGTAACAAAAAGCTAAAAGGGTGTCTTTCAAGAAAATAATGTTTTATATATGGTGTGATATTTGATTCTCACCCATGAGCTGTATTGTTCATGTCGTCTCTTGAAGTGGATCATCCAGTTCCCCAGAGATTTTAGAGTATCTGGTGCCAGTTTCCTCCAGATAACAGGAATCTGCCCATTAAACAGAGCTCTCGCCACCTCATCTAACTCGCTGCTCATTCTAACCTCACCAGCCAGGGCCTTCAGACAGAAAACACACTCACATGGTCTCTACTGTGAAACCTAACAATTTTTTATTTCATATTTAATGAACAATAATGCATCACAAACAGTTGTATTAATTGTAAGCTGGAAGAGTTTTTGATTTTTTTCTATCTCTTTGTCTTCATGTCACTCACTCGCTGTAGTTCAGCCAGAGAACGACTCATCCTGAGGGTGAGTTTGTTAAAGCGTTCCAGCTCTCGTAACAGTACACAGACGTTGGAGAAATCTCCAGCCCCCACTTCTTGTGAATCACGTCCAGGTCGAACACTTCGGGTAGTTTGCTCTGAATGTCCCGTGCCACCTGGCTGATGTACTCATCTCTACTAATGCCACCGCCAGAGTCACCTTTAGATTTTACATGGCAGTAAATATATTTAAAGCATTTCGAAAACAACTGCTATGGACTGATGTGTCAAATATATTAATTGTATAAAATTTTAATTTGTATATGGTTAATACTGTATGTAGACACAATGATCATAGTGATCATGTTTGAGTAATACAAAGTAATATAAATCAGGTACCTGTCTGTGGTTGTAGCTCAATAAGAAGAGTCCATACGTCTCGGGCAGCCTGTGTGTAGTATCCCATCTCAGCATTAGTGCAAACCAAACACCTCTGCTGTGTTAGCAAGAGGCAGTGACTCTATCTCATCTGCAAAACTTGGAGAGTTTGAGTGTCTGTCACATTCAAACCACAGTCTTTCTGATGCTAGACTGTGGGAAGCAACATACCAACATAAATCTGCTTGGGTCCATCTGGTGGGATCTTTACTGTGAAAGAAGTGGAAGGGCTGGAAGGTGTCGAAGATGAAGTCGCCCAGATACTCATCCATGTAAACTGTGAGGATCCTACGATCAAAGCTATCAATAGCCCTGCCACCATACATCACCTGAGACAAACTAAACAAATGTTCCTATGTTAATATATTTAAAAATGTTATTTATTCCTGTGATGGCAGAAACCATTATTCCAATCTTCAGTGTCACATGATCCTTCAGAAATCATTCTAATATGCTGATTTAGTGCTCAAGACACATTTCTTATTATCAGTTGAAAAGATTTTTTGTTTTATTTTATCTTTTCATTTTTTCTTAAAATATTTTTGTGAAAACCATGACCATTTTTTAGGATTCTTTGATCAATAGAAAGTTGAAAATAAAAATAAAACGTCATAAATAGAACCCGGCAGCAGTTTTCTGTTGGGGATTTGTTGCGCCGCGCCGCTCACGTCTGTAGACACGGTGTAACATTGGTTTTGCTTTGTTTCACAGAACTAATCGTTGCCTGGGTTGCGTATTTAGCTATCAAAATAGGGGCAAGACCCTTTTGGGGTAGGGGCGTGTTTGTTTTGGTGATTTCAAATATCAACATTGGCTACCAGAAATCGCTTACTCTGCCTTTAAGTGAAATCAAGTAGACAAAACTGAACGCAACAGGTCCTGGCAGCAATAATTAGTGTGCTGCCACCTAGTGATGAAACAAAATGCCTCAGCAGCACAGGTCTTTTGAAATTGTAATAGAATCATTGGTCACAAACAATATATTCTATTATTTTATTACTTTATTAATCATTTTAAAGTTATTAAAGTTTAAAAACCTCTCATAAATAATTTCATATTATCACAGTTAGACTATCAGTCAGCATTGAGGCATAGACATACTCCCTGCAGTACCCAGTGAGAAATGTGCTTGGTGGTGAAAAGATCAGCCTCAAACACCAGTCCAACACCCATAGCATTCCTCCTCATAGAGGTGGTGTAGACTGGAGTCCTTAGGGTGTTCTATAAAGTAAACCAAAAATACACATTGGTTACAGATTACAAGTATTTCCAGGCAGATATTTCAAGACATCATGATAAAAAAATATGAAGCATCTTGCCTGAAGTTTGAGGCGGCGTGCTTCAATGGGAATGATTTTGAGAATGGGTAGTTGAGACACTAAAACTCTGGGTTTGCTGCGCACCAGACAGCCTTTTTCAATGTCCCAGTCTGCCCCCTCCAGATACAGGCCTGATACAAAACATCCTAACAGAGAAAAGAAAGAACGTGTTTTTAACCTGTGCTTGAGTCTCAGTGTCCTCATGTAAATTTTTTATGTGCAGGGTGTTGTGCGCTCTCACCCTGTCCTGGTCTCTCTTTGACCTCATCCTCACTCCTGTAGTGTGTAACCTGTGTGTAAAGAGTGGAGTGATCCAGAGGCCAGCCGTTCTTCCTGCAGGTGGCCTGGACCAGTGCTGTCAGGTATGATTCTGGGATATGCAAGCCTGACAGCCACATCACACAGGGTTCTCCCTCATCCACCTACATAGATGAAAAACAATATGAGGAAAACTTGTATGTATGTATGTATGTATGTATGTATTTAGTTAGTTAGTTAGTAGCCCATTTGATAAATTCAATTAGAAGTTCATTTACAGGACCCGACCTAAATTTTTTTAACAGACAATAGGGGGCAGTAACACCTCTGTTGTTCATCCAAGTGAATAGATCGACTACTGTTCAAAAGTTTGGGGTCAGTAAGATTTTGAAAGTCAAAATCAGAAAGTGATTTTTAAATTGTTACCAAAAAGTCTATTTCAAATCAATTCTGTTCTTTTGATTTTTATCAAAGAATCTGAAAAAAAAAATGTATCACAGTTTCCACAAAATATTAATATCAATATAATACTGATAATATTAAGAAATGTTTCATGAGCACCAAATCAGCATATTAGAATGATTTCTGAAGGATCATGTGACACTGAAGACTGGAGTAATGCTAAAAAATCAGCTTTGCCAACAGAGAAATAAATGACATTTTAACATATTAGCAGACAAGTTATTTTAAATTGCAATACTATTTCACTGTTTTACTGTATTTTTCATCAAATAACAGCATTGGTGAGAATAAGACACTTATTCTCCATATTCAAAAAAGAATACAGAAAAAAAAAAATCATGAAAAAGCCTTACCAACCCAAACAAAATAGTAGTGTCTCAGCCATTTCAAATAATCAGGCAATTAATTGGTCTGTCTATCCTATTCTTGCTTATACATTTTAACAAAATTATTTTGTTAAAATGTAGCTTTTTGTTACTTACTGTCCTATTATTTTAAATAATAGGACAGTAAGTAACAAAAAAACTAAGAGGGTGCCTTTCAAAAAAATACTGTCTTATATGGTGTGATATTTGATTCTCACCCATGAGCTGTACTGTTCGTGTCGCCTCTTGAAGTGGATCATCCAGTTTCCCAGAGACTTTAGAGTATCTGGTGCCAGTTTCCTCCAGATAACAGGAATCTGCCCGTTAAACAGAGCTCTCGCCACCTCATCCAACTCGCTGCTCATTCCAACCTCACCAGCCAGGGCCTTTAGACAGAAAACACACAAACATGGTCTGCTGTGAAACCTACCACTTTTAATGAACCATAAACAGTTGTATTAATTGTAAGCTGGAACAGTTTTTTATTTTTTTGTCTCTTTGTCTTCATGTCACTCACTCGCTGGAGCTCAGCCAGAGAACGGATCATCCTAAGGGTGAGTTTGTTAAAGCGTTCCAGCTCTTGTAGCAGCACTACAGACGTTGGAGAGATCTCCAGACCCAACTTCTTGCGAATGACATCCAGGTCAAACACTTCAGGTAGTTTGCTCTGAATGTCCCGTGCCACCTGGCTGATGTACTCATCTCTACTAATGCCACCGCCAGAGTCACCTTTAGATTTTACATGGCAGTAAATATATTTAAAGCATTTCGAAAACAACTGCTATGGACTGATGTGTCAAATATATTAATTGTATAAAATTTTAATTTGTATATGGTTAATACTGTATGTAGACACAATGATCATAGTGATCATGTTTGAGTAATACAAAGTAATATAAATCAGGTACCTGTCTGTGGTTGTAGCTCAATAAGAAGAGTCCATACGTCTCGGGCAGCCTGTGTGTAGTATCCCATCTCAGCATTAGTGCAAACCAAACACCTCTGCTGTGTTAGCAAGAGGCAGCGACTCTATCTCATCTGCAAAGTGTGGAGAGTTTGAGTGTCTGTCAAATTCAAACCAGAGTCTTTCTGATGGTAGATTGTAGGAAGCAACATACCAGCATAAACCTGCTTGGGTCCATCTGGTGGGATCTTATAGTCCACATCTTTATTGTGAAAAAAGTGGAAGGGCTGGAAGGTGTCGAAGATGAAGTCGCCCAGATACTCATCCATGTAAACTGTGAGGATCCTACGATCAAAGCTATCAATAGCCCTGCCACCATACATCACCTGAGACAAACTAAACAAATGTTCCTATGTTAATATATTTAAAAATGTTATTTATTCCTGTGATGGCAGAAACCATTATTCCAATCTTCAGTGTCACATGATCCTTCAGAAATCATTCTAATATGCTGATTTAGTGCTCAAGACACATTTCTTATTATCAGTTGAAAAGATTTTTTGTTTTATTTTATCTTTTCATTTTTTCTTAAAATATTTTTGTGAAAACCATGACCATTTTTTAGGATTCTTTGATCAATAGAAAGTTGAAAATAAAAATAAAAACATTTTGTAGCATTATAAAGCTTTGTTCTTTATCATTATTAATTTTCCTGCATAAAATGACATGATTAACTTAAATGTGATTTTTACCTCGCCAATTAGGTATCTGAGACTTCCCCATGGTATCATGGCATCTCCATGACTGTGAGCTTTGGTCAGGTAGGTGTCCAAAATTTCCATACACACCTGAGAGACAATGAAACAACATAACTGAAAAGCAGTGAAAAGTGTCTTAAACTAACCTTAAACTACCTGAACATTTCAAGGAGCTTTGGTTTAGAGCAGACTTACCAGGAAGTCAGACTCGTTGAAATCATAAGGCACATTCCAGCCGATCTTGCCATACTTGCGTCTTTCCTGAACCACAGCATGGAAGAAGGCCAGCACATAAACCAGACTGCGAAAGGCTGGGTGAGGACAGGTCATCAGCTTATAATTAGGGATCTTAAAATATGTCGCCCTCATGTTTAGCTTCAGCCCATTCGGAGGTTCTGATACAACCTGAAGGTGACATGAGGACAAAATGAGTTAACATGGAAATGAATATTCACACATTAAATGTGTCCTGACCTTGAGGGATTTCTGCAGGATGCCGATGGGAAAGTCTTTAATAGGCTCTGTGGTGAGCCATAGGCAGAAGTCTGGGTGGGTTTAGTGATTCTTTCCAGTGCTTTCTCTAGATCCTTCAGCCATTTCACTAACAGGTGACAGTTTTGCAGCATCAGCCACTGGCCTCGTGCCACTGCAGTTTCCAACAGTTGCAATGCAACCTGAAACAGAAATGTCATATTTATACCTTTTAACAGATTGTCTTGTAGAATTCAAGGGTAGTTTTCCTAAATATGTCTGTTATCATATTAGCGGTGCAGTGCACTGTGCTGGTTACACGGATACGTTGTTTTTGTTCAAATCAAAGCGTAAACAACTTCGAAAATGTATCCGCGTGGCACAGCTGACACAGAATAGCATTCAGTGTTTGCGTTTAGTGGATACTCCCCAAATTCGGCACCAGGAGACGAATTGTTGAATAAAGTCGTTATTTTTCTTTTCTTTGCGTACAAAAAGTATTCTCTTAGCTTTGTAAAATTACAGTTGAACCCCTGATGTCACATGGATTATTTTACCGATGTCCTTGCTAAGTTTCTGGACCTTGATCATGGTAATTACATTGCTGTCTATGGGAGGGTCAGAGAGCTCTCAGAATTCATTAAAAAAATCTTAATTTGTGTTCCGAAGATGAACGGAGGTCTTACGGGTTTAGAACGGCATGAGGGTGAGTAATTAATGACAGAATTTTCACTTTTGGGTGAACAAACCCTTTAATCAGATGGCATGATCTTCTGATAGCAGTTAATTATTTAAAAAGAAAGTTTATTAAATGGATTGGATTGGAATCCATTAGACTTCAAGAGATTAACAGGCTCACCAGTACAGCCATAGTTATAGACATTCTGTGTAAGTGTATCCATGATGTTCTTCAGTCTAGTGGGCAGGATTGCATTGGGCAGAGACTTGGACAGTGAGAGGTCAAACACCTCTAAAAAGGAAGCAAGTGAATACTGATACATGCTGTTGACCAGAGCCATCTCAGCCAGCACAACGAACAAGACAGCTCCTCGCTTGGCAGCCGGACGGTAGCCGTCTCTCAGTGTCTCAATATCACTGGCCATCTTTTCCGCCAGCTTCAGTTTTTCAAACACCTTTTGGAGTCAAATAATGATTGTTAGACTGTAAACTGCTCATATCCTGTTTAGTTTCATTAATCGGTATGTACACTACTATTCACAAGTTTGTAGACAGTAAGTATTTTTAATAAGTTAATACTTTTAAAGTGAGGATGCATTCAACTTAACAAAAGTCACAGTAAAGACTTTTTACATTGTTACAAAAAAAAACACTGTTCTTTTGAAATTTCTGTTCATCAAAGAATCCAAAAAAAAATGTATAACCACAAAAAATATTAAGCAGCACAACTGTTTAGCACTGATAATAAAATTAATAATATGAAATGTTTCATGAGCACTAAATCAGCATATTAGAAATTTCTGAAGTATCATGTGACACTGAAGACTGGAGTAATCTCTGCTGAAAATTTTACTTTGCCATCACAGGAATAAAAAACATTTAAAAATATATTAAAATAGAATTATTTGTTAAATATAGTAAAGTATTTTTTCTCGTTTTGTCACTGCATGTTTGATCAAAAAAATGCAGCCTTAGTGAGCACACGTGTGCAAAAATATTAAAAAATCTTGCCAACCCTAAATTTTTGAATGGCACTGTACTAGTCTCTGTGATAAATATTTCTGAAATAATGTGTGGTGTGCAATGAACTAACCTCACTGGCGTTGGTCTTGGTTTCTTCCAGAGTCTGTATAAGCTCTACGTTATCCAGCATGTTTCCTGTGGAGGTGGCCAGCTCTCTCAACAATCATCAAGGTCTTTCAGCAAACGTTTGTTCACACTGGACTCTTGAATAAGCCGTTCTCTCTGCTCCTCCTTGTCCTTCTGCTCAAATCCCACAATAACACTCAGCAGCTGGTCTTCCAGGCCCTTCAGTGTTACTGAAAAAATAGTTTTAACATAAAGATTAAATGACAATCTGTAAAGCCCCAAATTAAATACATATGCACATCTGAGTCAGAAAAAAAAATATTTGGAAAAAAATTCATCTCGACTCCTAAAAACTAGGTAATTTTTTTTAATGCTAATATTTTTGTGATAAACTGTGAAGGTTGTATACTTCCATTTGCATGGAGACCTGGTGTGAACTGGTGGAAACCTGTGTGTATCGCATAACGTTTGCTCTCACCTGTATAATTGATAACATGGCCTTCCCAAATACTGCAGGAGAGAACTTAGGGTTTGCAAGTTTGGTATTGAGGTAAAGTTTAAAGTTGGGATCATAGTCAACTCCCTTATCACCAAGTACGACAACCTGACGTCCCTCTGGCCCTTTTACATTCTTCTCAAGGACATTGTCAATAACTGGATCAATATATTCATCCACATCTTGGAAGAGGAAGGGAAAACCATACTTAATGGCCAACTCCAGTCCCTTCAAGAAGTCTGGGTCATTGAATGATGAGATCTGCAAATGAGAAACTTTTTTATTAAAAAAAAACACCAAGACTGATTACAGATAAACTCAGCAGACTTTAAGTGATAAAATGAAGTAAAACCTTCAGATTGTTCTTCTCCTCCTTCTTTTTGACCCAGTTGAAGGCTTGCTGCTGGGGGTCAATGCACAAGGGAAAGCGGCTAGATCTGGTGGTCAGGATCCCATTCTGCACTGAAAGTTCATCTGGAGGAAGACCTTCAGATCCCCATCTAAAAGAACGCACACCGTTTTTTTTTACCCAATAAACAAATACACAAATAATATTTATTCTTCTACACATCACTTGGTGACTCACTGCTGATCTCCACCTCATCAGTGAGCAGGTTTTCTATTCGGAAAGGCTGGCTCAGAGAAATGTCTCGCTCCAGAACGTCTGCCTGCCACACCTCATACACCATTTCATTACGGAAATCCCAGCTGAATGCTCCTTCATAGCTAAGGAAGGCAGCGCAGATCAGACAGTCTCCTAGAAGAAGCACTCGCCACTGCTTCAGCTCCTCCAGGTCCTCTGTCCAGCTATATGCAGATAGACATATAGTACATGATTGTTGAATAAAGTCATTATTTTTTTTTCTTTTGCGCACAAAAAGTATTCTCGTAGCTTCGTAAAATTACGGTTGAACCCCTGATGTCACATGGATTATTTTACCGATCTCCTTGCTACGTTTCTGGATGTTGATCGTGTAAGGACCCTTGCTGTCTATGGGAGGGTCAGAGAGCTGTCAGAATGCATCAAAATATTTTAATTTGTGTTCCGAAGATGAACGAAGGTCTTACAGGTTTGCTGCGCTCCATTTTCCAGGCTGCTCTCTTTAGGGTACGAGTGTGCTCATTATACCACAGTGTCAGACTGTTTTCCTTAATCTTCCTTAAGCGTAAAGGAGCAACCGTATCTAAAATGCTAGAAAAGAGAGAGTCCATAGTTTCTGTTACATCATCAAATAGTTCTGAGCTATTGGATATGCTAAGGAATTGAGATAAATCAGGAATATTACTTACAAAGCAGTCTTTTGTGGTAGAAGTGATGGTTCTACCATACTTGTAACAAGGATTAGAATTTAGTTATAGCTATATGAAGTTTGCACAAGACTAGATAATGATCTGAGATATCATCGCTTGGCTGCATAATTTCAACACCCATCAATTCCATGTGACATTATTAAATCTAGAGTATGATTTCGAGAATGAGTAGGTCCTGAGACGTGTTGTCTAACCCCAATAGAGTTCAGAATGTCTATGAATGCTGATCCCAATGCATCTTTTTCATTATCAACATGGATATTAAAAT